CAGACATATCCGACTCCTCCTCTTCTTCTGCAATGCTTTTTCCTTTTGAAACAAGGGCCAATGATCCCACATCCGAAACTACCTTCGCTTCCTTGGTTACCACACTCTCATGGGACTTAAGTATTCCCACAAGTTTCGCTAGTGAGTAAGATTTAAACTGTTCATGTGCTTTCACTGTTGAAACCACAACCATCCATTCTGGTCTCAAACCATTCATGAAGGTTACCTTTTGCTCGATCAACTTCTTTTCTATACCATGCTTGATCATCTTGCTTATGAGATGATTGAAGCGATCGAAGGTTTGTATCAGTTTCTCTTCTGGTTTCTATTCGAAAACACCAAATTCTGAGAGCAGCAAAGTTTGAATAGAGTGTTCTAGATCTTCATCGGTTGAGTAGAGTTCCTTCAACCTATCCCAGATTTCTTTATCCGTCGTGTATGAACCAACTAACCGAAAGGTGTCAGATTGCAAAGCGAATCTGATCATTCTCATGGACTTCACATTACATAACAACTTGTCCTTCTCATCCTGCGGCATTTTATCTACGTCCTCCACCAGCTTATTATATTCTTTTTGACTCTTCACAGTCGTGTTCGTTCCAGAGTGAACAAACGGCCCAAGCGTGATGGCTTCCCAGATGAGATAGCCATTGTCTTCAGATCCAACCACATAATCTTCAAAGTGATGCCCCCATACTTCATAGTCTTGTGTGTAAAGAATGGGAACCCTTGTAGTGGATCCAATGCTGTTAGAGATGTTGATGGGATTAGTTTGAGAATCTTCGTGAGACATGGTGAGGCTTTCCTTAGAACCGCTAGAATCAGACCTGTAAACTTGATATTAGGGTTTTATCAAACACAAGTGTTACCGTCGACAGGAAGAAGACGGCTTCTTTATATTCGATAAAAGCGGAAACCCTAAAGAATTCTTAACACAGAAGGAATGTGTATTGATCACACAGTCTCCTGCTCTGATACCAATTGTTAGAACAAAGTTCTAGTAGGATCGATAGATTCTAAGCAGATAAACAATTAAGAAAGTAATTATAAACACAGGAATGGCTTTAAAGATGTCGTATGATTAAACTTTAACACCTCAGAAGAGCTCGATTAAGAACTTCGACTGTAGAGGTGTTTAGGGTTACAAAACAATAATGATGATAATCAAGAACCTATCTAATGCATACATGCATGCACTATTTATAGTTTAACCCTACTAGATAATCACGGATGGACAGGCCCAATCCAGATATACAAAATAAGCCCATGACGCAACACAATAATACCCAACAAAACCAAAACTGCAAACCGTAAGCACAAAGCTTAGTGAGTCCCCCAGAGCATACCTCACACACAATCCATAAAACACATATCATAATAGCTATAAAAGTTATCTCTACTGCATACCACATATCAATTAGCTATAAAAGCTACCTCTACCACTTAATACAAAACAATTAGCTACAAAGGCTACCTCTACCGCATATCACATATCCATTAGCTATAAAAGCTACCTCTACCACGTATCACATATCAAATAGCTATCGAGCTATCTCTACCATTAGCCACAAAGGATATCTCTACCATTAGCCCCAAAGGATATCTCTACCGTTAGCCCCAAAAGCTATCTCTACCATTAGCCACAAAGGCTATCTCTACCATTAGCCCTAAAGGCTATCTCTACCGCATATTACCACATACTCAAGCCACACACCTCTTCACAACAAGTATACCAACTATCATAAAATGGGCCGGCCTTGGTGCCTTAGACCTATTTGTATGGTGAGAAGATTGACCTCGCATTGCTGAAGTTCCGCGGATAACTCTAGCTGCTGGACTAACAAGGTAAGACCCGGTAAGTCCCGACGCACTGCTCCAACTCAACCTCCTATAATCATCATGTGATTAACCTGTCACAATCCCGAAACATTATAAATGTCCTCCGGGTCAACCCTGGTCAACCATGGTCAATCAATCAAGGTCAATAGTCCATGCTGACCTCAACTCGTCGAGTTTCCTGGATAACTCGCCAACTCGTCGAGTCATTAGAGTAACTCGTCGAGTTCCTTTATGTTCCATGGTCGAAGACTCTAACCGAAAACCCTTGACCTAAAACCTTAACCGAAAACCCTCATGATCCCGCAAACGGGAAAACCCTTCCCAAATCATCGAGTTGGCTAAGCAACTCGTCGAGTCCCTTCAGCCCTTTTTGAGTTCAGTCCTTTACAGTGGAAACCAAAGCTCCAAATCATAGATCCAACCACTTATGGTGTAGCTACCACGTAAAGTTGCAAACTTTACGTGTTATGCAAAGCATCCAAGGCTAGAAACACTTAATAAAAGCTTGACAAGGGACTTAGAGCATGAAGGGGGCCAAGACTTGATAAAGTTGACAACTTTAAGTCCCCAAAGGCCTTGAGATATCCAGATCTAAGCCATATGCTTATAACAAGCTCAAATCCAAGAATGATCCCAAACTATGCTAATAATGGCCATAAACTTCCATAGAAGGAAATCTAAGCAATGAAAAGCCAAGGTTTCGACTTTATACCTCAAAGTAGTTGCAACGCTGGAGGAAATCCCGGATCTACTGCCTTCCATTCAATACAACCTCTTCAAGCTTCAAGTTCCTTCCAAAAGAGCACCAAGAATCACTCTCCAAGCTCACACACACATTCAATGAGATGAAGGGCACGAACTAGGGTTTCTCTGGACAAAGGGGGACATAAGGGAGGCTGCAAACGAGACATAAGTCCTTTAAATAGGGTACAAATCCCTAAAATTTAGGGTTTCTTCTACAACGCCTACTCGCCGAGTCAGGGCCTTCCGACTTGTCGAGTAGGGTCGAAATCCTGCGATCCTTTAAATGGCTCTACTCGTCGAGTTGGGGCTCCCAACTCGCCGAGTCCCGGCACCAAAACCCTAAAAACTTGCATCCATTAAACAATTTCTGGAACAGGTGTTACAATATATATAGGTAGTGGATGTGTAGTTAGTTTGATCACATCATTCAAAAACACTCACAAATCTCTAAAAACTCCAAAACGCCGCCGACACCGACACCGACACCGACACCGACACCGACATGCCTGTATTCCATTCTATATGTTACATTTTATGTTTTTATGTTTAAAAATGTACTTGTTTCATGTTTTTATGTATTTTTCAAAACCAAAAATCTATAAAGTTTGATTTTTTAAGTTTCTGCCGGTTTTTTCCAAACTGGTTCTACCCTATCTGATTTGTGCAGCTAGCATACTCTGCCACTCATCTAGAGTCCAGACATTTAGAAGAAAAATCTTGGGCTTAACTTTGGATTTTTAGTAGTGGGCCGTTACCTAATGTTTTTATAGTTACCGTTTGACTCGTAGGCCTAAGTCAGTTCGGTATGTTGTGTTTTTTGGATTTCCATCAATATAAAGCTTTGTGGTGCTTATTATATATACATATTAAAGAGGGACAATGTTGGGGAACAGTGAACATCCAACTTTTCTGGCAAAACTGGTCCTTTAGTTATGGGTGGTTTGCAAATTTGTGTCCTTATTTTTATGGGTCATATTTTGCGTGTTATCACCGTGGATTAGTGTCTTGGGTACGTGTTGTATTGCTGTGTCACCGCAGCCTGGACCAATCGTATTCGGATTTGTGTGCTTCTGCTTCACTACCGATGTCTGTTTCGTTTTCTTCACCGACTCTATCCACCGCCATCGACTTTATTGTCTTCCTAAATTCTTATTCTCTTTACTTTTTTTCACTGCCAGAAATCAGATGTAGCTACGATGACTTCCTCGATTTTGCTTTGATCTTTCTCGATTCGATTAGGGCTTTGATTTCCAACAAGCCACCTCTTCAAGTCGATCGTTTCCACCACCTCTACCGCCGCCCGCTTCACGTACTCTATAAACCCCACCTCATTCTTTCACCTACTATCCTTCACGATTTTTTCCATCCCTTGCTGTTCCTCCATAAATGTTTCAGTGATATTGAGTTTGGAGGTCAAAGTTAGTGAAAGATACCATAAACGAGACAGTCTCCGCTCCGCCGAAGCCTTCTTCTTGGATTTCAGCCATACCCATCTCCTGCGACACCGTCTCCGCCAAAGCCTCCGCCGGTGAGTCTGCCTCCGCCATATAGGATCCATCGACTCCCTATCCGCCACCTCCTTCTTCTTCGCGTCTACCACCAGGTTCGCTGCTTTCTTTTGTGTTCGATTACAACTTGCTCTTCGAATCCTCAATTTTCTGTTTCCTTTTCTGTGTATTTCTATGTTCGATTAGGGATTGGGTGCCACCGTCTATCAGAATCGGAGTCGACCTCTTCACCTTCTAAGGCCATTGTTGCTTATCTTCACTGCACTGGTTGTAGACGAAGGGACTGCGAAGGGATTGCATTTCTCATTATCGTCATTTGCATAAGATCTATCACAAAATCGATCCCAAACTTCCAAGAACAGGTATTTTTGCAATATGCTCCATCTATTGATTATGGATGGATGATGACCAATGATTGGTTGTATTTGTTTGTAGGTATACTGAACGATTCTTATGGTTGGCACCTGCTTCCTAAACCGAAAAATGGTTTGAGTGTTATTGTATTGGAATTGGGAGTGTAGATCCTTATGTGAGTTTATCTTTTTTGTTGTTCTTTTCATGCCCTAAATTTTAGCTGCCTCTAATTGCTTTGTATTTGTGGTGGGTTGATGTGATTTTTGAAGTAGAAAAGCTAGGGTTCTATAAACCCTTGTGTATTATTCCTTCACAGCTTCTGGAATGGCTCCAAGGTACTATCTACATCGTATCTTTCTTCTTGATTAAGTTTATTTACTATTTTTTTTATCTCTTTATGAGGTTTTGAGTAAGTGATGATGTTGTTCTAATTTACTTATCTCATGGGCTAATTCGTCTACAACTGGAAAACTGATTGAGATCATTTTCTGGTCAACGGAGTTTCCAACACCGATGTTTATGTTAAATAATCGTTTCAACACGGTGTAAGCTGTCTTATAGCCTAAAATTCTAATGATTGATATGTATTTTGTTTAAATTGATTTTTTATAGGTGACATAATAAGGACTTTGAAGGAGAATAACTATGAATATACATGTGGAAATGTTACTGTAAAGCTTACAGAAGCTTATGGCTTTTGTTGGGGTGTTGGGCGTGTTGTCGGATTGCTTATGAAGCCAGAAAACAATTCCCTCATCAGAAGATTTGGATCACTAACGAAATTATTCACAACCCGACTGTTAATAAGGTACTGATTTAGTTTCTTTGGCTAAATTCTGTAGCTTACAGTTTTTTGGTGATTTTCTTCCAATAATAAACATTTTTAAGGATCTTTTATTAGTTCTGTTTTCATTTGATCCGTGAATAGTGTTGTCATCTAAATACATTTTTGTTGATTCCTAAGTGAAAGTATTCTCTATTATTCCTACTTCCCTCACATGCATGTATCTTGTAAAACTTTACATTTTTTCAACAGATGAAGCACCATACGGGGTAGCATTTGTTCTTTTATTTATTTATTTATTTATTTATCGTTTTCTCTATATGTATCAGATGATCATTAAAGTTTTTAACTTTTGTAATGCTAGAGGCTAGAAGAGATGGAAGTTAAAGATATCCCAATTGAGGAAGGAGAAAAACAATTTGATGTTGTTGATAAGGGCGATGTTGTAATTCTGCTTTGTTTTGGAGCTGCAGTAGACGAAATGTTGACTTTGAGTAATCTTCAAGTTAATCAGGAATTCAACATCTATGAAGGTTCTAATTAAATAAATTATGAATTATTTCCATATTAAATTCATACATTTTTAAATAAATTATGAATGATCGAAATATCAATTTACCTTTTGTTTGGACGTATATTTGGTTACCACTTCTGTTTTAGTTGGTATTTTTTCTCTTTCTATGCGTATGTGTATTTATCAATGAATGTTGTGTGATTCGTGCACTGTGAAGGCACTACTGACTACTTCCAGAATAGTCATGGGATTATCTTTTTGGTTGATAGAAATGACAGTGATAGAGTTGTTGATGCAAGAGATGAGTTGCATAGGATGTTGGATGCTGTTTGTTCGGTTGAATCAATTAGTTGCACAACAAAACCAGTTATCAGACTTGATTTAAAATCTGAATACAACAAAAACTTGTTTATGAGATTGGCCTAAATAAAGCAGTTTTAACATGATCACATTTTGGACACTGGAAACCTTATTATGACCAAATAATTGAAACCGGTTACAAAGAGAACTGAAAAAACCTGTAGAGAACCATTGTAAACTTCCATTATGGCTACATTAAACCCTGTAAACTTTCTTTTGGTACCCTTTTCAAATTCAAAAACTCTTAACAAAAGAACATAAACAAGAAACAAAATCCAAACATATTTCAAGTGAAACCAACTCAGTTTTTCATCCCCAAGCGAAAACAAAATCACAGTTTATCAACACTTTAAACTCTCTCGTTCAACAGCAGAGAACAAAACAAGATACTTAAACTCAACAGTTGAATAACACAAATGCAACTTATTGCATATAGAGCATTTGCTATTTTTGTCCCTCTGTACAACAACCTCAAATCTCCTTCAACCTCCATGGCAGCCGAACCATAAAAAATTCCCCTTTTGCCCTTCTTGGCCAACGAATCCAGCTCCCTTAAAAAGGTAGTTCCACTTGTGACACCCAAGTCTCCAATCATGTCAAATTTTGATAAAATTCATATTTTCTCTATTCTATTTGTTATACTTCTGAGTCTTCAACTTCAGAGCTCAAAACAAAACTCGGGAATGCCAAAGTTATGTCCCTACAAATATCAAATCATTATGCAAAAGAAGTGACTGTTAAGAAACAGTATGGGCGTTTTCGTCATTTTGTCAACTTACTTCAAGTACGGGAGGGTCATGTTTTTTATAAGAGATGGATTTTTTGCTACAAATTGCTTCCATTCATCTTCATCTATCTTTCCATCCCCTTTAATATCTGCATCACTAAATGTTTTATCCACTATCATTTCAATAACTTCTTCAGAAAGCACCAAATCGGATTCATGTAACAGTGCTATTACCATCTCCTTTAACTGTATTTTTACAAATAAAAATAAAAAAATTTAGCTTCATCTTCATCATCAAGAATGTAAAAATACTAGTATTACACTAACCTCTTCTCTTTCAATAAAACCAGTACGTCTAAGATCATATAGCCTGAAAGCAACTGTCAAAAAGAGTTTAATGTCAGATTACACAAAAAATCAATGACCTAAAAAATCCAAAATGATTTGAGGAACTCACATTCGATTTTATCTTCAATCGGTGCATTTGGATGAAAAACACTTAGTGATCGAACAAATTCTCCACACTCAATAACTCCATTACGTTTCACATCAAACAGATCAAATATCTACAAAACAAAATTCAACAATTTTTTAGTAAAAAAAAAAAAAAGAAAAACTAATTCAAGAAGATTTACATGTGTTCTTCAAATATGACATACCCTGTCTGCAAAGAGATTTCGCATGTTTCTGTTCCTGAAGAGTGCCAGCTGGAATTCTTCCTGGAGAAGATATTTCATATTTGTGATGAAGATTAACACTAATCTACTTATATTATATGCAAGAAAATTGTAATTAAAATTAATATCTCTTCAAGAACTGAATACCTTGTGAATGAGGCCATCATCAATAATGGAGCTGCTCAGCTTCTTGAAAAGCTCATACAACGCCTCAACTTCACTCACAGTGACTGAAATTTTCAAGGTTAAAGGATATGTAAGTATTAAGAAGCTCTCTGAAGTGAAAATTTCAATCTCTTAATCTAATCCATGCACTTTATCCGAAGAACAAGGAAACCCTGAATCATGTTTATATGAAGATAGAAAATTAAAGATCATTTGATTTGTGAAGGATAAATTCAAGAACTCACATGGGGTTTCATTAGCGAGAAGAGCAGGATCTTCATACCCAGGGCTATGCTTAACGCCAGAGGAACAAATGCAACCCATCAAAATCGCTGATAAGTTGTTGAATTTTGAAAGATTGATAAGATGAAGATCATGCTAAAGATCTATATATCCCTTTTGATCTGCCAATGTGATTTGCAAGTATAACACGTTAATCCAGGAAAATAAGGATGACGTTTAATTAATTGGCTGTCGTTATATAACAATGAGATTTTGATTATAAGCATATGTCTCATTTAAACCATAGAAAAATAATAAATTTTTGGTATAAAAGTCAAACCAATTTGATGGCGATGTGAAAGATGTGTGTCCCTCCATAAACAATTAAAAAACAAATGAGAAAGCTACCCACTAAAAAGAAACCACAAAATCTTGCATGTAGATATTCAGCATTTATTGGGCCTAACTTGAAGTTATCATAAAACCCCAACTTGTTTAGGTCATGGGAACACCATATTTGAATATGTTTTGCATCTTCAAATTCTTGAGGATAATCATCATCAAAAGAGTACAAAAACAAAGGACAACTGGAATCCTTTTCAATGAATATACTATATAGTAAGGAAGAAAACAAAAGGAAGGTTGTAGGTTTTTGAAAGCACCATCTAATTTATTTTAAGGTGGTGTGCATAAGCAAACCTAAACTTATGCATACCAACAAATTAAAATATATTAAAATGCAAAGCATTCGTGAATTGACAAGCAGAAAGCTGGTAAGTCATAGCCCTCGAAATCTACAAAAAATTTCCAAAGTAAAAAATTTATAATCACAGATACTGATCAGAATTGCAACTCTATTGCAGAATTGCATATCAAGTTGGTAATCAGGACATGAGCAGACGAAACCCTTATTTTGTACATTTGTATATTATAAAAAAGAGATCCGATACAATCAAAATATAAAAAGCAGCAAAATAGTCTGTCTTTGAAAGTGATATTTTTAAAATATTAGCTGTAAAAAGTGGATGTTTCTGAGAATACCCTATTCGAATTCAAGTCGGTAGCTATCATTAAAATGTAAATCGTGAACAGAGAAATATCGTACGTTCTTGATCAGAAAATTTAAAAATGTGGATTTCCTAGGTTTCTGATTGCGAAGAACACACAGAAAATGGAGTTGTAGAGTGTTGATCTTAACGGATTAAACCCTAACTCATAATCGTCGATGTTTCTGAGAATACCCAATTTGAATTCAAGTCGGTACCTGAAAGGAGGAAATGTTTCCACAATTTCTCCAAGATGACACAAGCTGCAAATGCAGAGAAGATGAGAGAGGACGGCTGGCTCACTGGCTGACCTGCAGAGGAGATGAGAAGGATGTTGGTGGAAAACTTGAGATCTTTAATGGAGGTGCCGTGTTAACTGTTGGTGATGTATAGATTCATTAAATTAAAGGAAAAAAAGGGTAAAAGCAGCCATTCAAATCTTGTTGGATTCATGGAGTCTCGTGTCTTTTTCTGCGCATCACTTTCTGACTGCTGACCGACCTTTCTATGCTTCAATACGGGGAGGGGATAAAAAAACAAAAGGGATAATTATTTTAAAAGGCAATGTATTTTTCGATTTATACTTAGTCATTAAGTTTTCGTTCACATTTATTCCTTTCAATTTGTTAAACTGTACACATTCAGTCCTTATGATCGGCTACTCCAGGTTAGCCGGTAAAAATGACTTAATAGGGTAATACTCCCTCCGTCCCAATATTATTGTCCACAGACAAAAAACACATATATTAAGAAAAACATTAATTACCACTAACTTTATTTAATAAAATGATAGTTTGGTCATTACTTTGCATTTAATGTTCAATTAAATGTTTAGTTGGTTAAGTAATAATGAGGGAGTATTTTGGTAAAAATGTTATTTATTTTTAGAAGTGGACTATTATTTTGGGACAAATCAAAAATGAAAGATGGACTATAATTTTGGGACGGAGGGAGTATATTTTTCATTTTGTACACATTTAGTCCTTAATATTTTTGTACACATTTAATCCTTAATATTTTTTTTGCAAAATAAATCATTTTTGTTTTTGTACTCATTCAGTACTTATGAATGAAGGGGGTGTTTGGGAATACTTTTTAACCTCAGTAGTTCTTTTTATGAAAGTTCTTTTCTTAAAAGTTAAAAGGTAAAAGTTAAAAGTCGTTAAATTTTCAATTGAATTGAATAAGGAAATCAATTTTTTATAGACAAAAATGCAAAAATAGTTCTTGTGGTATGCATTTTTTGGGGGTTTTAGTCCAAATCACGATTTTTTTGGCTTCATGGTCCTTTTGGACTAGTTTGTATGTGAAAATAGTCTCTTCGAAAATTGAAATGACTATAATACATTTGGGGTATTTATTTTTCATTTTTTTAATTTAATATTTATTTATTTATTTTAACAGTTAAAAAATAATAGAGGACCACCTCTCTCTCTCTCTCTCTCTCTCTCTCTAAAAAAAACACATACAGAAACGGAAAACAAAATGCTAGAAAAATCAACCCAACAGCTCCATCAAGCTCCACCATTCTTGTTAATCCAAAAGCCGATTCACCCACCTGTTATCCCTTCATATTTCTCCCTTCCTATGATTTCGAATGGGGAATTGATTTTTGGGTTGTTCTTGATATTGGTTGGGTGTTGATTACAAGTTTTAATTTTTATTTGGGGATGAGTTAAGGGGGATATGACGATGGTGAAGAAGAACGGGTGGGAGGGGAGATGAGGGGTGGAAGCAAAAGACACACACATGGATTTTTGGTGTGACTAGGGAACCTTCATCCCATTTCAAAAACTGATGAAGATGAAACTTTCATCCCTGTTCAAAAACCATTATAGAACATCAACCAAATCAAAGATTTGGGTTTCTTGTTTCAAAACCCTTAGAAAACCTGCAACTAAATCAAAGGTTTAGTATCTAAAAACAAACTCATAAATCAAAGGTTGGGATATGATTAGCTCACAAGTTGATGCCCTTCGCAGAGGCGTGCAACAAGACAACCTCAAACTAGATGACGCTTTGGTCAAAAGGGAAATCGCACTCAATCGAATTTATCAGGTTTAGATATGTCTCTAATTTCATTAGGAACGAGTACTCGTTTGATTTCTGATTTTTGACATGAATTGGAACCACCGGCTCATTATGGTTCATCACCCAATTCAATCTAGTTATCAAGATAAATAGTGGATTCAACATTTTGGGAACACCCAATTTGTTTATGTTTGTTCTATGACAACCCGAAATTTCTATTCTGTACAACCATTCACTTCAATAGAAGTCAGAACTGTTTCTGCTAACT